CCCAAGATCCCGAGAAGAGAATGGAGAAGGGATTGCGGCGTGACCATCCCCCCTGGGGGGTGATTTCTCGCTTTCTGTCTCCATGTCTCTCTCTGTCTGTCTGGCGAGCGCACGCGCCCTATAGCGAAAAACCTCTCCAAAAAAAAAAAGAATGAGGAAGGGAGTGCAGTGTGGCCATCCCCCTGGGAGGTGATTTCTCTCTCTCTTTCTGGTGAGCTCACACGCCCAATAGCAAAAATTTAAAAGAAAAAAAAAGATTGGAGAGCCAATTAAATAATGACATTGACATTCCTAGATTTTCAGTAGCCCATTGCAGGGAACCAGACAACTGGCCACGTGGGAGGGCATGATGGGTGGAGAAGGGACTAGGTCAGCAGGGAGGCCAGGGTGTGGAGGCAGGTGGTTGCCTGGGCTGTCTCACCATGGCACCCTCTGGTACGGTCAGTCTGCTCTCCTCCCTGATGGGCCCTCCATCCCGCTCCCTCTTGGGCTCCACTGTGGAAAGGGATGATGACCGGGGTAGGGGGCCATCCCCTCGGTGCCGCTTGGTCACATGGGCATCAGGACCATGCACTGTCTTGACATGTTTTCGGAGCGAGCTGGGATCTGTGTAGCGTTTGGTGCAGCCGGGGAGCTTACACACATACGGCTTCTGTGGGGTGGACAGTGAAGACAGAAGGCAAAGGGATCAATACATACAATGCAGAAGGGATGGCAAAAGTGCTGACCGAGCGGGTAAGGGAGGAATGTGTGTCCCCCAAGGAAGTAAAAGGGAGGCCTGCAGTGAGAGTAAAAGGCCAAGGGTTAAAAAAAAAAAAAAAAAAAAAAAAAAAAAAAAAGGAAAGAATTGGGAAAACTGATGTCCCAGCTCTGGGAAAGATGAGGAGCTGAAACCACAACTGGGAGACTCAGAAACTCAGGGGTCCGAAGGGTCAGGCTCTCCTCTGGACATGGTCTAGTTTTGGTCAGCCCTTTGGCTGGCTAGAGGGAGGAGGAGGAGTGGCTAGCAGAAATTCTTGGTTTCAGAAAGGCCTTTTCTGGATGAACTATAGGGGGAGGGGGACTCACCTCTGTGGAGTGGGTGCTGGGCTAAGGGATTTCTTAGGGAAGACTCTCCCTGGTAGGTGGCTTCTCAAATGGGGAGGGCCTCTTAGCCGGGGCATTCACCTCATTGGAGTGGGTCCGATTTTGGTGCTTGGCACGGTCACTGGCATTGCTGAAGGCTTTACTGCAGCCCTCGTGCTCACACATGTATGGCTTCTCACCCGTGTGGGACCGCAGGTGCGTCTTCAGGTTTTCGAGACGTGAGTACGACTTGCGGCACCCTTCAAACTAAGGAACGGAGGAGATCAAAGGATAGCTCTCGACAGACACGGGGGTGAAGGGAACCCTAATTTGCAAAAGGGACATATCTTAGAGAATATTGCAACATGGGACAACATAGGTGCATCAGGAGAATTTCCGAAAAGTGGGAGACAGGCAGGTAAGAGGCCAGGAAGAGGAGAGCTGGAGGCACTCTGCCTTCGAGGACATGGAGATGAGGCAGTGAGCATCTCTTGGTGCAGCTAGAGCAGAGCCCCTACACAGGAAGGCTGCCCCGAGATGGGGTTGGCCTGGGGGACAGGCTATGTGTGTCTTCT